CGAGCGACCAAGCCATTTTTAGTGCATTTTGACAAGTTGTTCTGCATTTCATTTCCATCCATTTTTGAGCATATGTAGACATGAATTATGAATTATTGAAGAGTCATGAGCTAAGAATCGATGTATATAAAGTTTTAAATATTCCGTTCATATAAGTCAACACAGCTCATTGGATAATTCTATTTATGTATTTGCTTCCGCTTCCGCTAGCCTCTTAATTTTGTTAATCAGTTCAGAGGCCTTCGGTAATCCAAGAATTACTGACCGGTTACGACGCTAAACCTATAGGGGCGGGTTTGTATCGTGACAGGCTCCAAACCAATTGCTCATCCTTTCTCAACCTTCAATAGTGTTGTTGGTCAGTGCTCTTCTGTCTTATCTGCTGGACTATTTGGAAATTCTGCAATTCCACATGTTTCGATGCTAACTCACTACCTCCAAACTGCAATTCGATTATGGCAAAAGCCATTGATTGGCAATTCGTCTCAAATTATCCTCTACCCTTAAGGCACAAGTCCCTTTCCTTTGTGAGTTGGAAACCTCCTGATGCACATAGATTCAAGTTAAACACTGATGAAGCAGCAAAGGGTAACTCAAGAACAACTTCTGCGGGTGGCCTAATCTGAAATTCCATGGGCAACTAGGTGTGTGGCTTCAACAAAAACATTGGTTTAACTAACAATGTGGTTGCTAAGTTATGGGGACTAAGGCCTAGTTTGGGAAGATTAAATAAGTGCACTTTTTGACTTTTTATGAAATATGGATTAGGTTTGGGTTGGGTTTGAAGTGATGTGTTAGAGAGGTGATGTGACTTAAATAAGATGATGTGACTTAAATAGGATAGTGACTTTTTGACTTTTTATCTTTTTTTAATCATGCCAAACTTGGCCTAAGAGATGGTCTTCAACTAGCCCTAGACAATAACTTGCGAAATATTGTGGAGATTGATGCCTTAATAGTTGAACAACTCATAAACAAGCCACACCGACAGCACCATCAACTTAGCAATCTAATCTCGGACTACAGGTACCTCATACAATAGCTAGGGATGAAAGAGGTAAAGCGCATTTTCCGTAAAGCAAATGGATGCGCTGACCTTTTGGCCAAGAAAGGGAACTCAATCAATGAAGAGATCATTATCTATGCTAATTTGCCTAGTTTTATTCCTGATAAATTATGTAACGATGCTTTAGGGGCAGACTTGTAATGGACTTTATTTAAGCTTTCTAAAACATCAATTTTATTACCACAAAAAAAAAAAATAAAAAGAAGATAAAAAGTCAAAAAATCAACCTAACTTTCCAAACGAAACCTATATATCATCAAGGGTTTAGCTGGAGAAAGAGATATAGAAGAGCGAGATAAACTGGAGAGAGAGGGGGGGAAAATGTCTTTAAAAATTGATATTTTTAGTGATTTTTTAAATATTTTTACAAAGTTAAAAAAAATTAATGTGTTTAAAAATTTTTAAAATGGCTTTTCTAATTATATCAAAAATCATAGATAACTGAATTTTTATTTTTATTTTTATTTTTATTTTTATTTTTATTTTTGACCTTTTAATATTTCAACTTTTTTAGTGACTTTTTGACTTAACCAAAAAGTCAAGTTACCAAACATAGCGTAAATTTAATGGGAGATTAAATTAAAATTTTAAAAATTATTAAAATTAAGATAAGTTAATTCGTAAAATCTCTAAAATTAACAATTAGACAAACCTCAAATAACCCATTCAAGGATTTAAACTCAAAATTTTAAATCTTATTTTTAAGTGTTTTACCGCTTAACCAACTCCTTAGGATTAATAACTAGTATTATAAAGGCATTTGAATTTTTAGCCACGAATTGGATTTTGGTAATAAATTATATTTTATTAGAACAAATTTTGTCTAAAAAAAATAAATCTTTTTAGTACTAAATTATTTTGTTCCTAAAAGTACATTTATTAATGACATTTTCAAAATTTTATTATCAAAAGTTTTTTTTTAATTTTTGAGACAACATTTTAGTGACTATCCTCATGACAACTGGAATTGGCCCTACAATTTTTTTGCAATAATTTTTTATTTTATTTTTAAAGACAAAAATGTAAGGATTGTTTGGAGATGATAAGTGCACTTATTTGGATCAGAACACCTCTCTATTTTTTTTCATTAAAAAAATTCAAAAATTGCACTAAATAAGTAATCCCAAACAATCCCTTTGTTCCAAAAACTCTTATATCCTAAAGTGATTTATATCAATAAGGTTGTATTTGATTGGAAGATTTGAAAAGGTAAATGAAAAGGGAAAGGGAGAAAGAGAAATAGAAAGAAAATGAGAAAGAATTGTTAGGATTCGAATTTCAAACTATGTTTAGTTTAGTTAGGAAATGAAAAAAAGAAAAAAGCATATTGAAATTCAAAAAACAAAAAATAAAATTGCATTTCACTCTTACTCTCTTTTTTCACGTATTTTTCATTATAACTAAACAAAAAATGGGCTTGTATTTTTTTTTTTTTCTCTTTTTATTTCTCTCATCAAATTCTCTACAACTAAACACAGCTTAAGAAGAGTGATACAAATGAGAAAGAGAAAGTTGGCAACAATAATATTTATATGGTAAAGATTATGGTACACGTCCCTCAAAAGATATGTACCATATACATCTTATAACTATAGAAGAAAATGACATAATTTCATATTTTCTAAGTCATAATTAGAAAATTAAAAAAACGTCATAAGAGCATCTCCAACCCTGAACCAAAATTTTCATCAAATCTGAGTAAAAAAATGAATTTTTCCTCAATTTGATACCGAGTGCTCCAACGGTTGATTTTCATCAAATTTTCATCAAATCTGTGCCGAGATAACCGGCTGGTCGACCGGGTGGTCAATCGGTTAAGCCAAAAATAATTTTTTTTTTTTTGAACTGTTTGAACCTTTTAGTGGTCAACCGGTAAGGCAAAAAAAAAATTTTTTTTTTTTTAACTGTTTGAACTTTTTTTTGGAACTGTTTGAACATTTTGGTGGTCGACCGGTTGGTCTCCTCCAACGGTCATGCACAGTGTTTTGGTGAAATGCGGAGCCTGTCCTCCTTTTGGTGAAACGTTTGGTGAATTCTCAATTTGGTAAAACCGTTGGAACTCCAAACAGTGTTTTTTTCACCAAATTTCAAATTTGATGCTAGGTTTGGTGAAGGGTTGGAGATGGTCTAACCAAACACAAAAAATTCATAACCAAATCTCAAAATAATATTATAATTAAAAAGTCATAACTAAAGAAGAAAATAACATAATTAAGGATGGTAAATTACAAATACAACTCTTGAGATTTGATTAAAATACGAATCATCCCGATAGTTCTGAAAATTACATTCTAGCCCCGAGGTTTTTAATTTCATAACAAATCACCTCTTTTATTAATAAATCATGAAATCAATTAACAGTTTTTAATATGCTAGAATATGTTTCAATTAATTATTTAAGTAATTTTATTATTATATAAGAGAGTAATTATGAGTTTTATTTTTTTAATTAATTCTGTTAAATAAAAAAATTTAATAAGGGAGTATTTATAATTTTTCAAATCACAAGAAACAATCTATACTTTAAGTAAATTTCAGAAGGTGTGTTTGTAATTTCCCTAAAAGCTAAGTTCACTTTGTTCTTCTCCTTCCCAACGATTCATGGCAATGCATGGCAACCTCGACGGATTTGGTAGGGTTAAGTGAAGGAGATTGATTGCTTAGTTGTTTTGCTTAGCTCGGAACGATGGACAACAGATAGCTCCGAACACAAGCTATGACTGATTAGCAGTCCACTGCGTAGGCTACCCTTTTGGATGGGGATAGGAACAAATGAACTTTTCGAAAAAGGAAAGAGAGGCTCTAAAATCAATCGAGTCTGGTGTGCTTATCCATTGTACGTGAGGCATTCCGATGCTTATCCATCCTAGTGAGCTGAGTCTAAATAACATAGGGATACAAAAAAAGAAAATAGCATTTCAATGATAATTTTAAAAAATATTATCATTTTCATGAAAAAGTTTATAAATTTATGTTTTAATATTACACAGTTTCTCATTAATTTAAAAATATTTTTCTTAATTTCCCCCTTAAAAGTATTTCTCCATATAAAAAAGCACTCACCATTTGCATGGTAATATCATTTTCAAAATTTAATATTGTGATTAAAAATTGAGACACTTTGTTATAAATATTTTTTCACTTACTTATGTTGTATTTAGTTTACATTATTTTTTTATATTCTAATAAGTCCTATGAGTGACCTACTTACTAAAATATCCCTAATAATATTCACATTTACAGTCTGAATGTTCCGTGATATGAATGTTAACATCGTCAATGTAAATGTTCACACCATCAATGTGAATGTTAACATGTCAATGTGAATGTTCGCACTGTCAATATGAACATTCATTTGTCAATGTAAATATTCACATTATAAAATATAAATGTTCACATTACTAAATTGCTAACCGTACAAATATTATTTGTAAGGATTGAAATGTCCATAAAATATTTTAAATATGATAATTAGCCTCCGTTTGGGAAGTGAGTTGGCTTTTTGGCTTTTTGGCTTTTTTGACTATTTTAGCCTGGGCTTAAAAGCTTGGTTTGGGAAGAGCTTTTTGGCTTTTTGACTTTTTTGAGTTTTTTTGTGAGAGAAGAATGTAATGATTATGGGTTGGATGTGATGTTTTGTTTGTTATGGCTAAAATAACCTATTTTGTCTTTTGTGGCTAAAATAGCCAAAAAAGCCCAAGAACCAACTTGCCAAACAGAGGCTTAGAATTCGATAGATCAAATGTTCAAATAATATGACTTATTAAAATATAAAAATATCTTATGAACTAATTGAAATACAAACACTTGAAAAATAATTTTCTAAATATCCCTTAAAAATTTGATATAAAAGCAAAATAATATTTTTTATTTTTTATTTTTTTTAAATAATTGGATGTAATCCTACGACGCAAAGATCGATCAAGGTCAGAATTTTATTAAAAACAAAACCAATAATTCAAAACAGAATAAATAAATATTCAAAGAAATTATCAGAATAAATAAATATTCAAAGAAGTTATCAAATACAAATATTGCCCAGCACTCCATGTAATGCTTGCTACTAGCTGCATTTATGTGAGTCAAGTCAACCAAAGTCACCATCATCAGAAATTCCCAGCCCTTTCCTCAATCCTCACCGGAAAACCACCTTTCATCTTAGATGTCAAATAAGATATGAACTCCGGCTCCACTCCTTCCTCAAACGCCGGCACCACCCTGAACCGCCGCAAGACACCCGAAACAACCCTCTTCATCTGCAAGAACGCCATCTCCTTCCCTAAGCAAATCCTCGGACCTGCCTGGAACACTGGATAAGTGTATGGGTCGCTCGCCACGAAGCTCCACTTTCCGGCTTCCGCGTCTCTCGTTTCCAACCATCTCTCCGGGCGGAACTCTGCCCAGTCCGACCCCCACAGCTTCTCCGACCGCCCCATTGCGTATGGATGGTAAATCACCCTTGTACCTTTCTTGACCACAGTCCCATCCGGCAACACGTCATCCTCCATTGCTTGTTTTCCATCCACGGGGACAGGCGGGTAAAGTCTCATGCTCTCGCTCAGGGACGCGTGAATGTAAACCATGTCCTTCACTTCTTCAAAACTCGCAGCTTCGGACTTGTCATTGATCTCTTTCAGAATCTCATTTTCCACGTCTGGGTATCTGTATATTAGCCAGAAGAACCACGTCAAGGCGGCTGATGTGGTGTCGCGACCCGCCAATATGAAGCTGATCACTATATCGGTGACGAAGTTTTCATCTGAATGTCCAGAACTCAAGAATCGTGATAAAAGATCAACGGATTCGAGCGATGATTTTTCTCCCAGTTCTTGCTTCTTTTCTTTGATTAGTTCTTTGGCGAATTCCCGAACTTCACTGACAGAAATTCGAAGCTGTTTTTCGGATTCAATGTCGAGAAACCGTTTAATTTTCCAATACACCGGATGAATGACATTGGACCTTTGACTGCTGAGTAAAACAGCTGTTTCGAAAGCTACCGCGAATTTTTCTTGAGGGAGAGATGGTTGCAAATAAGCAGGATCGTGTCCGAAAGCGATCTTGCATATGTTGTCGAAGGCGAATCTCTGAAGAATGTCCTGAAGATCGAGCACAGTTTTGTTTGCAGCAGCGGCAGAGAAGATCGGAATGAGTCGGTCTGAGAGCTCGGTCTCGACAACTGTCTCGACAAATTTGCGTAAAGATTTGGTGTTGAATTCATGACTGGCAACTTGTCTCTGGAACTTCCAGTTCTCACCATCGACATTAAAGATGCCATCGCCGAGTAGGTCCCAGACATGGACTCGAGCGATTGGGCCCTTTTGGTAGATATGGAAATGGGACTTGAGCATGTGCTGGACATTGGAAGGATTGGCAGTGAAGACTTCGTGGCCACCAATTAAATCTCAATCACACAATGCACCACTCTAGGCAACTTTAGGAAAAAAAAACTCTAGAGGATCCTTGCTCCTTGGTGGCAGCCTAGAGTACTGTTGAGGACGACAGTAGAAGTGGGTGTGTTGGTCACCAAATCAGATGTCCATTGGATGAGCTGGTTTCGATTCGCATAGAATGTGAAGAAGGAGCCGATAAGTGGGTATGATCTTGGAATCTTAGAGGACTTGTTGGGGGAAAACAAGCTTGTGAAAATGGACTTGGAATTGAGAATGAACAAGAAGAACAGAGAAAGAAAGCCAAGAAGCAAAGAACTTGAAAGCTCGAGGTTTAACATGGCTATAGTCTGAATGTGACGTTATTGATTAATACGGTTGGTCCGTTGAGGTGTGTTGCAATGCAATGAAAATTGGGGGTAGAGATTATGGGGTATTTATATGGAAAAAAAAAATTTATATATGTAAAACATCGCGTTCCATTAACTTATACTAATTTTATATTTCTTTTGTCTCAAAATAATAGTTTTTTTAAAAAAATTTAACTTTTTTTTAAAAATATAATTATTAAATTTTAAAAAATTAATTTTTTAAAATTATCCTTTTGATAATATATTTTTTTAGAATATCAATGTCATAATTATACTTTTTATATTGTTTGTTAATTTAAAAGAATGATAAAATAAAAAATTTATATTATTTTTATATTTCATTTTTAAAGAGAGATTAATATTTTAAAATAATAAAAAATAAAATAAAAAATTAATATTTTGAAACGAAAAGAATAATAATTTAATATTTTTATTTATTTATTTGCATTTCTCTGTCATATGTTGGTTATGTTAATTTATTACTTTATTTGTTTACAGTTTATTACTTTATGTATTTTACTTTTTCTTTATTTTGATAGCATTGCCCAAGTTGTTCACACACCCCATATCTTATATTTAAGAGCCAATTTATTGATCAAAAATGTTTATTTTGTTCAAAAAAATTTGAACTCATTTGTCAAATAAGGAATTTGACCTCTCATATTGGAAAACCAAAAGAAATTAAGAATGTCTCAAATAAATTAGTTTTTTTTTTTTAATGGGTAATGCTGAGAAAAAAGCATCTAGATGGAAAGTATGTGAACATGAATATGTAGAAGATTTCGTAAGTGGTGTCGTCACAGGAGCAAGGATCCCTCCTTGCATCATTTCTTACTTGTAAGGTTATTGGTTTCACTTTTCGGTTTAATTTTGATAATTTAAATTGTTTACATTTTAAAATTTGTTCAGTATATTATATTTATAAAAAATTAAGTTGATTGGATATCAGAAAATATGTGTTCGGAAAAATTGAATTAAAAATTTTTTTTTAAAAAAATTTAATACACAGTTTTCCGAACACATACTTTTTGATATCCGATCAACTTGATTTTTTACGAGTATAATATACTGAATAAATTTTAAAATATAAACAGTTTAAATTATTAAAATTTAATCTAAAAATGAGCCTAATAACTTTGTAAGTAAGAAATATGAAGAGAAAGTGAAAAGAGAGAATCTTGACTCGTCGTTACAGATGTAGATATCGTTTCTGGAGCGTGTGGTCACGAAGGACATCATTGGCCAAAAATCATCGTCGTCATTGACGTCATCAGTTAACTGTCGGTAAAAGTAAAAAGAAGACTTTTCTTCTTCAAGTCACTTAGACCATCTCCAACGCTTCAGCAAACGTGATATCAAATTCAAAATTTGATGAAAAAGTCACTTTTTTGAGCTCCAACCGTTTCACCAAATCGATATCAAATCCAGAATTCAGCAAATCTTGTACCAAAATGAGAACAGGCGAAGCATTTTACCAAATCACTGTTCCTAACCGTTGGGAGAGACCAACCGGTCAACCAGCCGGTTGCCCGGCCGGTTGACCAACCGGTTGACCGCCTAAAGGTTCAAACGGTTCGAAAAAAAAGGTTCAAACAGAAAAAAAAAAAAAAAAAAAATTTTAACCGGTCGACCAGCCGGTTGACCACTAAAAGGTTCAAAAAGAAAAAAAAAAAAAAAAAAAAAAAAAAAAAATTCGCTTAACCGGTCGACCAACCGGTTGTCCCTGGCACAAATTTGATGAAAGTGCACCATTGGAGCGAGTGGTATCAAATTGGTAAAATGAGTCATTTTTTACTCAAATTTAGTAAAAAATCTGAGTAACCGTTGGAGATGCTCTTATTGATCCATGTCCTGTAAGGAGTCGACCTATCAAGTGAACAATTATTAGTACTTTCAATAATGTTATGGATAGCTGGACACTTGCTTTCAAATTTGATGTTTTTGAAGGGTTTGGAATGTGTTAAATAAGTGTATTTTTTATTTTTTAAATTAAAAAATTGAGAAAAAAATATGAATATTTAAATTAATATTTTGATTTTTTTATGAAAAAAATATGTATTAAAAAATTAATTTGTAAAGTGTGTAGGAGAAGCTAAGCCATTTTTTGAAAAGTGTGTACGGATTGGGTGTTTGGTGAGATGGGTGAATACATGGGGAAAAGAGAGCCTCTGTTTCGGACTTTGATGGGAATGTGTTGTTTGATTCGTGAGGGCTCATCACGTGTCTCTATTTTCTAATCGGAATCGTTAATGTGTAGTACTCGTCGGTTACTATATGATTGTAAAAAATCACGTTGATTGGATATTGATAGTTATCTGATCATATTAGTTTTTTTGTTAACTGTTAATTATAACATCATCTATTTTTTATACAAAACTGGTTTGATCATATAGTTAGAGATATCCGATATAAGTGATTTTTTACAAGCATATAATATTAGACGATTTCTACATATTGAACGGTTAAAATTATCAAAACGGGACCCATGATGGCCTCTATGGGTCCAACTATACGAAATACGCGACACATGTAAAAAAAAATTTCAACAATGATAGAGACTACTAATTTTGGAGCTCTAAAAAGACCACTAATGACATGACACTCAATAAAATAAAATAAAAATACAATACCAAGACCAAAATATCAAATCATTCATAGTGGGACCCACTACCACATCATTAATGATAGCACTAATTAGTGCTCTCACTCATTTTTCATTTTTTTTTTCCTTTCCCTGCAGTGGGTTTGACGTTTACGTCAGTACGTTGATGGTTGATTTGTATTTATATATTAATTTTTTAATATTTATTTTGGTGAATAGTGGTAACTTTTTAATTTTTTTTGATAATTTTTTAACTTTTTGACTTTTTTTTTAACTTGTCAAACTTAGCCTTAATAACGCTTCATTTGACAATAAGTTATTTTAATAATTTGTTAATTTTTTTTAAATAGATATATAAAAAAATAGAGAAAGTGATGTAATAAATTAAAGTAACATTTCGACTTTTTAGTTAAAATATGTAATTCTCAAACAAGATCTACGGGTTATTTTGAGTATGATTTATAAGTTGATTTTTTATTTATTATGAAAAAATATGTAAAAAAGTAAAAAAAATTATTTGACTTAAATAAGCCAATAAAGAAAATAAATTGAATTTTTTAGATATTGTCAAAAGATCTCAGTCTAAGGGGTTGTTTGGGATGTTCTAAATAAGTGCACTTTTTAACTTTTTATGAAATATAGATTGGGTTTGAAGTGATGTGGTAAAGATGTAATGTAACTTAAATAAGATAGTGACTTTTTTATTTTTTAACTTTTTGACTTTTTTTAAAGATGTCAAACTTAACCTAAATGCACAAAAATTAAACACATAATAAACGTAAATGTCACATAAAATGGTCAATAATTCTTGTGTAGCATTTGTATTGGTTTTGTGTTTTTAGTATTATTGTTTTATAGTTCATCAAACTCACTCCAAAATGTTGATCCAAATCTTAAAAAAAACATATATATATAAAGATAAAATAAGATACGAACTTCTTACATGATTTAAATTCTATATTTTTATTGATTCTTTACTTACATAAGAAGATCATGTCTCTATTGTAATTAATTTATATGCAGGTAAAAGAATTAAAGTCACAAATTTATTAACCCCAGAGGTTTGCCAAGTAATAAAAACTTTTAAATAACGGGATGTTACCTGTATCAATTAATATACTAACTAGTATACTAATACTAGTTATGACATTATTATTGATCTCACTCATATATAAATTACAAATATCAAAAATTTTTTAAATTATGTCATATCATCAATTGATACACTAATTAATATACTAATTAGTAAATATAGCATTATTCTTTAAATAAAATTTAAGATCTCAAATCCAAGTTATCCTAAGGGACCACTCGCTCATTAATTTCACAACTCTGAAATTGGGTGAGGTCCGTAAGTTAGGCCAAATACTCAGTTAAAATAAAATATAAATAAATAAAAAATTCATCAAAGGAAAAGGCAATAGCAGTAACTAGTATATGCACCTGATTTGTGGGCAGTGTATTCGTTCTGACTTTCTTTTAGAATAGTGATATAAAAATAGAAGATATATAAGTTTTATATATATAATAATGTGATTACATTTGAATTTGTTATCTTTAAAGAGTGTCAATTAAAATGATTTTTAATTACAAAAATATGAACACTACATTATTTTAGTGACAAATTTATGTAAAGATTGTATGTGAATAACATATTTCTCTTTTTTAATGTCGACGTGAACAGTGGTTTGTAAGTAAGCATTTTATAATGAAAAACAGAGAATATTATATCGAGATTCAATACACATAGCCACAATTATTGACACATAGCCACAATTATTGATAAGATGGATTAAGTCTATTAATTGAGTTAATGGCTGCACTTTGATCAAAAATTACACAAAGGCTATCTGATTTTATTTGAATTATGGAAGGGTAAAGTTAGGAATTGAGGAGGGTGTTGTGTCTATAAGGCACAACACTGTGCTGTGAGCTCATGAGGGCGTTTTCTAAATTTATTTTGATGATTCGAACTGTTCATATTATATGATTCGTCGAGTAGATCATTCATGAAAAAAAATGAAGTCAATCAGACATATGTAATCCATAACAAGACCACATTTTTATGTTTAAAAAAATAACGGTTAGCATAATTTTGATAATTTTTAAAGAAAATAATTATGGCCTGATCATGGGACTACACATGTCCAATTAACCTCATTCTTTATATAGATGATGCACTCGACGAATCATAGAATATGAACAGTTCAAATCATCAAAATAAAATCAAGACAAACCTCAACCGGAGCTTCATAGCGAGGGCTGTGACATCACCCTTTCCAAGTTTGGAAAAGTAACCACATAGGACTGTTTGGTTATGTTTGAACGATAGGGCATAGGATTTTCTGGCTATATTTGAATCATAGGGCATGAGACTTTCTGATTATATTTGAACCATAAGTGTTAAAGTATTTTCTGGTTATATTTTAACTATAGAG